AGTAGTAACTAACTTTTTATATCATACTTGCTGTTTTCCCACTACTTTGTACGCGTTATTTTAGTCAGTGTCATCTGCATTTAATGCAAGTGTACATATAAATAATTAACAATTGTACTGACAATATAACATAGCTAGCAGATGTCGATTTATTGGAAAATATAATGAGAGTTTGAGAATGTCATGCAAAATATTTACGCAGACTGATGGTGGACTGAAAATGAATTCCCACCGAAAGAATATAAATAAAATAAACATCAGACAACATCCTATACATTGCTCAGATTCTAAGTTGAGTAGCTAAAGCATTCGTATTATGGAGTATCTTAGACAACGACAGTACCACAACACTCAGACAATAGGAAAGTCCACTTTCTACATTGAGTCAATCACAAATCGGACCTGGGACCTCAAGGACAGCGACACTGTAACTGTAGTGCAAGACGTTAAGAGTGGCAGGTAATTAGAATATAGATTTTTCTACAGACAGAACCTGGTGACACCTGTTTTTTACTTATTTTGCAAAGAACATAAAAATAAAATCCACATTTTTAAACTAATATCACAATCATATTATATTAATGGTAGAGGATGCATAATAGTGTTGCTGCATTATTCATACATATTAGACTTTGAGAATCATCTATAATATTGATAGGCAAAAGTCAACAGTAATAGTATAAGTATTATATTAAATATTAAATTACGATACTATAGACAGTGTATAGAGACTCAACACTAATGTTTCAGCTTTAACTACTGATACTGGATTATCAAATGACAAATCTAATTCATAACTATGAACAAGGCTGCAATTGAAGTTCAAATATGTACTAAAGTATAGATGAAAAGATGACAATACTGTATAAATAAATACTATATAAAAATATTATGGTATCACTATCTACTAATTAGTAACAGCAAAATACACTAAATTGATACAACAAATTAAATAGAAAAACAAAACCATGCATTAATTATAAATAATGGAGGATAAAGATTAGAAATACAGAGATATTTAGCACTAAATCATATCTAATAAATAGGTTTGATTATGAGAACTTTGTATGAATTTATAATGTTCACAGTTGCTTACTACATTGTTGATATTCTTATAAACACATACCAGTTTCTTTTCCTTGAACACTAAACACTGTCTCTGTTGAACAACGTCGACTCCATGTACTTTCTGAAACAAAGAGCGAGACAGGTTCTTTTCTATTCATTTATTTTCAAGGTAAAGTGCATTATAGAATTAATATTATTATTTGCTCACCTGGAAGAAGTCACTAGTTAGTGATAAGGTGATTGTATGTTTCCTTTTTTGTTATATAAGCATATTTTGTTTTTGTGTGTACAATAAAGAATAATCTATCATCTATTCTATATTAGTATATTTAAAATTAATGTTAAGAGTGCCATATCAATATATAATTAGTATTTAAATAATATTTTAACTTTACCGTTGTTTACTGAAGTATGTTGAATATATATGCTGTTAGTAAAATAAATAAATAATTTTCTATTTAATTTAAAATTAAATTTAGAATAAAAAGGAGTAATAATAAAAAAATATTTACATATATAAATTATCTACTTTGTAGCTTAACTACTATCAAAAGACAAATTGGTCAATATATATCTGATAACATTATACCTAGAACAATTTTTAAATTTATGAGATTAGCAACGATATGGGTTCAATTTCATACATGATACATTTCAGAGTAAGGACTTGTACGTAATTTAAATGACAGCAATACTTTTTCACTATTTAATTTCAAAAATGCTTAAGTCAATTCCACTCCCACAAAAGGTTACACAAAAACATAACCTAAAGCTCATATAAATATAGATCTTGTTCGTTCTTCAATGAAATTCAAAGGTACGGCTTTTACTACACGTTTACAACTCCCTTTGACCTTGATTAATTCAAAACGTATGTTTGACTTAATGTCTTGTTGGGTAATGTCTACTTACTATAGCTGACAAATAACTTGTAAAAATGTAATCAAACCCACAATAGTAATAGAATACATTACATACCAGAAAGATACGATGCCGTCGTGTTCATACTAATATTGCAAACACTAATCTCAACTATTAACTATGTATCTAATGAACGTTTATAACAAAATCCCAGAATCAGTAGCCTCAAGAAATGAAATCAAGAGAAAACCAGTTAAAAAGTTCTTCTTAGGGATGTGAAAAAGAATCATTTTTAAATAATCGATTTGGAAATCAAAACGAATCGATTATTTTAAATATGAATATCAAGGACAACGATGATTTATTTTATTAAACGGTTGCCATTGAGTTAGCGCCTGCTGAAGCAGGTTTGGAGACCTCCAGTGCCTAGGATAAACGGGTTGGTGGTGCCTGACGCTGCACCCAGCGGCGATAGAGCACAATCGTACGGACCACCAAGTATTAGTATTTTTCTTTATCTCCTTCCCTAAATGAAATAAGATTATGCCATAGAAAATTTGTCATCTTAAAATTACGCTTATTTCCATCCTACAAATATTCAGTCAGTCAATAAATTATCTGACACAATTTAGCCTGTTTTCCTTATTCATCAAAAATATATTAAGTACATAAACTTATAGCAAAGTATGTTATTATATCAAAAATGTTTTGGAGTGTATTATCGATATTCTGTTGTAGAAAAATGCCACTTATTTAATTATATTATTTACTTAAAAAAATAATTATTATTAGATAATAATATAATTTAAACTGATTTTATTATCACTATTAACAATCAATTAATTTAAAATTATTATATATGAAAGTCACATCTCTAATGTTTTCACCAGTGTCGCAAATGAGGCGAACATAATCTTTTTTATTTATTCTTGGCTTGGATGCATGTCGTTTAGCCAACGTGAACATGATGTCGTAGCAGTGTTTCCATTAATGGTTTTGAATTCCTTAGATTTTATCTTAGAATTTCCATTATAAACATCATTACCTTCTATTTAAAGCTTATTGGTGCGAAAATAGAACAATAAATTAAATTAAATATATATATATATATATATATTTATTATATGGCGCGTGGGTATACGACATGAAAAGTGTTCCGTGAATTTAAAATTACTAACACGTAAGATTTAAAAAATCGTTTATCGAACTATTTTCTAAGTTATGGTGTGAACAATAACAGACATTGTATTGAAAAATAAGATAACTTTAGTAATTCAAAAGCTATAAAACCGATGTAGAAAAGATAAGTAAGAGTAATGGGAGAGGAGGAAGCGAAAGATATATCTTAGGAGTAGGGCTGTGCCTTTGCCTTGTGGCATTTGGTCCTCTCTGCCTATCTCGTAATGGATACGGCATGTGAAGACTTACATATAATGCTCGTAGATAGTCAGGTAGATGTGAGTGTGAACCAGGATTGTAACAGATGCTGGTTTTTCCTATATCAGCTAAATGCTTCAAAAATCCACTTTGTCCCTAGCACTTTGAGATGGGACACACGACAGCACATAGGTAATAGGTAGGTGTCGCGTCTGTGAGTGGTTGTTTACATGGGACAATTTAAATTAATTAATAAGAATAGTATTTTTCATTATTTAATTACACTTTTGAAGAAAAATAAATCTTATAGTAATTTAATATGATCATGTGAAAGATTAAAAATAGTTTTTCCAATATAATATTATATTTATTTAAATACAACAAAAGTAGGTATTTATCGCGGGCGAATTCTCTGGTGAACAGCTAGTACTTAAAAATAGGGATGATACCTGGGTATAATAAAAGAAGTTCTAAATAATCCATCAGTCAGTTAATATAAAAATATTAGATTGATTAATAATGTCAGACTCCTTTTATATTTTGTAAAAGAAATAATGTCTAAAACATTCAAAATTACAACCCTATGGTTTTAATGGAGCGTAGGTATTTATTTTATCAAATAGGCTTAGTTTCTATACTGTGTCATACTTATACTGTGTCAATTTGCCACCCTGTCTAGGATTCGGCAAAAACTATCGATTTCTCAAAATATTGATATTTTATCCCGCGACATATCGGCTTTCAATATTTATTTTCAGATATAAAATTCGTATCATAATCGATATAAAGTTCTGCTGTCTGCTCAAAGGTCGCATCATGTATTTCTTAAATTTAAAAAAAAAGGAGTGGGCTGTATGAGTTTAGAAATTACAGTCTATGAGCTGCTTTTCGTTTTTGTTTCTTTATGACAATGATACTGCTTGTTAGTTTGTTTGGTATCACTGAGAGTGCTCCTGATGTTAATATCAGACAAATACTGATTTGTTTGAATAATGTAATTTTTGTTGTGTTGATGATGTTGTTTTCTTGGCTTAATGTACCAATTTTAAATAACAAAACAGCCAAGTGTTTGTCTTCTTTAAATATTTTGACAATTTTTATAGATAATCGCTTATTGCGCAGACAATATCGATATATCAATATATCGTTTTTTTATGAAAATATTTAACGATACATCTGATAAATATCGATACGATATATATCGATTTTTTTTCGCATTCATCCCTAACCCTGCCAACCAAAGCAAAAAATATTAAAAAAACAACTGTTTCCTTTTCCTCGTGGCATGGTGTCGGCGTAAGGTGAGTTACTCATATTTGTGAAATTTATTCAAAATTAGTGCTTAATATTAAATAAGTTTTTGATATTCATCATATTTAGGTCGTTTTTGTTGCAAAGTTACGTTATTTAAAGGCTTTCGTTTGTGGATTTTTTTTTTTAATCGGAAACATAGTCTATCCACACGTGGAACCAAACAAGTTTCGTTTTTGTGAAGAAATTCAAACAAAATCTATAAGTGTATTGAAATTTGAGCGGTGCATGTTTTAAGGTGAGAGAGAGTATCATTATTTCTAATAGAAGAAATAATAGCACATGCACTGGACAGTTATCGAAGAGGTTAGCTAGATCGAAAAGGTAATCAATGATACATTGACAAGTGGTAATTTTGTTGTAGTTGCCGAAAAGCAACCACAATGCCGCAGAATGAATATATTGAACGCCATCAAAAGCTTTACGGTAGGAGACTCGACTATGAGGAGAGAAAGAGGAAACGTGAGGCGCGTGAACCTCATAAGAGGGCAGAGAAGGCGCGTAAACTTCGCGGTATCAAGGCTAAGATCTACAACAAAGAGCGCCGCAATGAAAAGATACAGATGAAGAAGAAAATCAAAGCACATGAAGAGAAAAATGTCAAGCAAAACACAGAAAAAGTGGCAGAGGGAGCACTTCCTGTATATCTTCTCGACAGAGATGTGCAGTCTCGAGCTAAAGTATTATCCAACATGATCAAACAGAAACGTAAAGAAAAGGCCGGAAAATGGGATGTACCAATTCCTAAAGTTAGGGCTCAAGCTGACGCAGAGGTTTTCAAAGTGTTGAAGTCTGGTAAATCCAAGAGGAAAGCCTGGAAACGTATGGTGACCAAAGTAACTTATGTGGGAGAGAATTTCACACGTAAACCGCCCAAGTTTGAAAGGTTCATTCGACCTATGGCTTTACGGTTTAAGAAGGCACATGTGACACATCCAGAGTTAAAAGCTACTTTCTGTTTACCAATTATTGGTGTGAAGAAGAATCCTAGTTCACAGATGTACACAAGTCTTGGAGTAATCACTAAGGGTACAGTGATCGAAGTTAATATTTCAGAGTTGGGTCTCGTCACTCAAGCCGGTAAAGTTGTATGGGGAAAATATGCCCAAGTCACTAACAACCCTGAAAACGATGGATGCATCAATGCTGTTTTATTAGTATAAACTAAATGATGTTTGAAAGTTTTAAATTCATTTGTCATTAAAAACTATGAACATTTTTATGTTTTTAATTATTCATAACCAATTCTTCATGATTTAAACATACTATCTAAATAAAATCTATTACCTGAACAAATCTTTGGCATTATGCAAGACATAGTTTTTGTGCAATACTTGATACTTGCAATAATTGGCACTACAATTTACTTAATTTGTCTCATAAACATTGAAGAAAACAGCTGAGATTTTTTTGATGTCAGAATATATTAGGACTAGATCTCGGATTTGTTGTAATGTAACAGGCATGCATGGGATTGTTATTTTAAAGAATGAATGTGAAATATTTACTTAGTCATAAACATTTCACATTGTTTTGTAATATATGCATCTACATTAGTCATCAGTGAAGTATTAATTCTTTTATAATTTTTCTTTGCTTTGATGATTTAAAAATAATTTAGTCAGATTATTCACTACCATGGCTCATTTACATTGATTGTGGGGGCCAAATGCAGGGTTTTGGCGAAATCTTTAGTTAATTTTCAGTGATTGTCATAGTTTTTCATCCAATATAAGTGTAACAGAGTAGTTGAACACAAATTTTAAATGAATCTAAGATATTATACTTTGAAATATTAGAAGTAAAAGATTATTTTCTTAAGCATATTTTTCTCAAGTTCCTTAATTCTTAATGGGTCAATTTATACTAGTGTAGTCAAAGTATGCTAAATTGTCTTGCTAATATGCAAACCATTAATTTAGTTAACATTATCATGTTTAGTTCCTTTCCTTTTAGCCTTTAGCAAGTTCCTTTTAGCATATTTTAGCATCTGGTATAGCTCATATAATTATATCTATTAATTAGAAAAAATTAATGATTTTTTGCAGGTAATTCAAGATGCAGATCTTCGTAAAGACCCTAACGGGCAAGACCATCACACTTGAGGTCGAGCCCTCTGACACTATCGAAAATGTCAAAGCTAAAATACAAGACAAAGAAGGAATTCCTCCTGATCAGCAGAGGTAATAGGATTTATGTAGTAGAAAAACTGTCTCAATCTCGAATTTATATCAGCTTTATCCTTTTCTACTATGATATGAATGTGAGAATTTTGTTACCTTTTTGCACTTGACTAAAATGGATTTAATGTAATTTATACTGATAAACCTCTGTAGGTATTTTTTATTCCAACCAGATTTCATAAAGTTCGCAATTACGCAGTCGACAAAGAAAGTTCAGGGTAAACATTAACTATTCATATAATACTGAAATCAACAATTTCGTGTATCAGGTTGATCTTCGCTGGCAAACAACTGGAAGATGGCCGCACTCTGTCAGACTACAACATTCAGAAGGAGTCTACTCTCCACCTGGTGTTACGCCTGCGAGGTGGTGCCAAGAAACGCAAGAAGAAGAATTACTCCACTCCCAAGAAGATCAAGCACAAGAAGAAGAAGGTCAAACTAGCCGTGCTTAGGTTCTACAAGGTGAGTCTATTATTGAATAAAAGGATCCTGAGTGAATGAATACACAACAACTAGACACATAACAATGAATCAATTATTTAAGAGTCATAGTTAGCTTCACTCTAAGGGCCAAATCATTATTATTACAATTATGCCTTAAAACATTTCCAGATTCTCAGCAAACAACTTGTATTGTAAAGTACAATTTATCACAGTAAAAAACAAATACTACATTTAACACTTTAAGGCACTGAAATCAGTCTTAGTGGTATGGGTTTTTCGATGTATTCAACAATCTTATTTTTTTAAATACACCATTTAAAAGACATTGGGTGATGGTGCTTTTCACAGGTCCTTTTTATATTTAAAAAAAAAAAACTGCCTAATAATGTGACCATTCAAATTATCAAGGATTACTCTGAAACTTGTAGATCAAACGTTGTTGTTTACGATGTTAACCTGTATGATATTATATAAAAGATAAATTACCTATTTATATAAGCAAACTATTTGAATACCAAGAATCATCAGTATCTATTGGTTGAAATAAATGTATATTGACTAATATGATCGATAAAATGTTACTCATTACATGTTAATATTGTTTACATATTTAATTAAAGGTATTTCAAATGAAAATATTCAAATAAAAATATTTTGGTTGACCATCTAGACAAGGGCGGATCCAGACTAAATCGGGGAATTTCACATTCAAGTCGGAGAATTCCAAAAAAATATAAATGGTCGACTATCTACCAAATTCGTCCTAAAAGAGTAGTGTAGATTTGGTGTTTGTTAACGATATATATATATTTCTATATGTCAGGTCGATGAGAACGGCAAGATCCACCGTCTGCGGCGCGAGTGTACCGGCGAGCAGTGCGGCGCGGGCGTGTTCATGGCCGTCATGGAGGACCGCCACTACTGCGGCAAGTGCCACAGCACTATGGTCTTTAAGGACGACGACAAATAGACTACTATCCTATAGTATAAGGTTAACGCTCAGACTGCTGTGTATGATGGATTTTGCAAATAAATCTTGACACAGTGTCAGAGACCCCAAATTGGTTTTTATTTCGATGTCACCTTGAGATGCGACGATATCGGTAAGTTCGGCGGATAGTTTGTGGAGTAGATAGTACCATGGATATTATAATACTAGAGGATTTAAATCTATCTATTTAAAAACAATCACATTCATGACCCTCACACATAACTTGCGATACAGTAATATAACTGTTATAATTTTGAAGCATGATTTATCTTGTTAGAAAGCACTGTTATTATGTGGTACCTATTTCAATGAAAATCTTTACTGAAATGGTAAGTTAATTTACCCAGCGAAGTGATAACGCTCTTCTAACTAAATAAAAACAAAAAACTTGTTTTCCTCTATATTTTAATAGAAGATTTTATATGGTATAAAAGCTTTTATTACCTACTGAATATACATTGTCAACGCTACTAGTAAGTATACAAATATTTTTTCAATAAATCTATTTTATTATTATTATTGTTTTATTTATAACAGCCTGTAGTATTGTATTTTAGTTTCAAAATCTGCACGTCATAGTCAAGAATATATAAAGTTTTTACTAAGAAATATGCAAAGAGTATTTATCGTTTAATAACAAAAAAAAAAAAAAACATTTTTGGCTCGCTTGTGACATCAAAGTACGCGACTAATCAATAGTAGTCTTAATTTATAAATATCTTTTTTTCTATATACATTCTATACACTGTACTGTACATGTATACAATGTACAGTCGGCCAAGAAAGTGGTCTACCACCCTAAGGTTGAATTTCGCGTGTTACGTCAACTAACAACAAGGTTGATTTTCCGTAGCATTAATTTTTTGACACGTCAAGTACACGTCATTATTGCTATCTTCATCATTTTGACGTAACCTTTGACAGTAATTATCTATACCTATAATAAAAATGTAACAAGGTTACATTTGTAAGATATTTTGGAAAAAAAATATATGGACGGCCATCATAAGACTAATAGAAGCCAAAAATTTTTTTTTTTCTATCTGTCTGTTTGTATGTTTAAATACTTTAGAGTTAGAATATCGTAAATAGTGTCTTATAGTCTACAAATATCCTACATTAGAATGTAGATTAATTATATTTTAATACAAATACAAAAAAATCAGTAGGTAGTGAAATGCTATGCGTAAGAAGCTATGCGTGTTATAGGTCTGAATATACTGAGATAACGGATAACAGAAATTAATAGCGACGAAAAACATATTGCGCCGACCCATAGCTTAGTGCGAGACAAGAGATAGTGAAAATGCTAATTCTTTGATTGTTAAAAAATATATATTTTTTATATTTCTTTTATAAAATTATAATTCTTAAAATCTTGTGTAGCCGCCATCTGCCTCTATAACAGCTTGGAGACGTTCCCTCATCGAGCCCACCAGTCTTGAGCAGATATCAGACCCACGTGTTTCCTCCCAAACCTCATTGCAGTGCCCTTGTAGTGCTTCTGCTGTTCGTTCATTTCGGTTACACCATCTCTGAACCATAAGACCACACATATTTTCAAAAGGGTTGAGATCTGGCGATTTTGCAGGCCATGGTATCAAGTTTATTTCCGGATGTGCATCAAACCAAGCACGTGTTACCCTTGCTTTATGTAAGGGACAGTTGTCCTGTAAATAATTAAATTGACGCATTTCATTTTCTGGATAAACGTTCCGGACGGATGGCAACATAGCATTTTGGAGAACATCAACATAATCTGATGCCGTTGCTCGTGGTGGCAAAAAGGTCAAGTCTCCAACACCATCAGCAGTCATCCATCCATACAAATTTACCGAGATACGACCCGATTCTCTATTTGGCACGACATGATTTTGCGTGTATCGCGTTTTATTGAATCGCCAAAGGTGTAGACGCCCGTGTTGACTGGATTTAAAAGTTTTCTCGTCACAGAAAACAGTGTTACTCCAATCAAAATCCAAATATTCTATGGCGAAATTTAATCTGGCCATTCTATGAGCGTCAGTCATAAAAATTTTCTTTGCATAACGCCTGTGATGTAAGCCCATGTAATGTTAATGGTTTCTAATGGTTTGGAGAGTCAAGTCAAATATGTTGGCAAAATAACACGTTGGTATAAAGCCAGATTCCTCATAACTCCGTATCATGAAGACTCGCTGAGTATCTGATATTTCAGGTCTACGACCGCTACGACTCCGAGCGTTCAAATTCCCCTCCTCGCTTTCTCGTCTTATCCAAAGACCAGTGCCGGTTTTAGCACTCCTAGCGCCCTGGGCGAAATTTCTTCGGCGCCCTCTAACTGTAATTTAATTACAATCAATTACTACTACATACTACAAATCAGTTACTTGTCTTTTTTTCGCCGACCCGGCCTACTTACTTGTAATTTTCCCTAAATTTAGGTAGATTGTTAAGCGTTCAATCGGTTTAATTTCTCGGGAATCCCCGACTTTCCGACCATACAGAAACAATGTGTTTTTCTATAATCGGGGATTCCCTATATCTAACTCTTTTAATTTTT